TTGGCCAATCAGAAGTCTAGAAGCCTCGGTGGGAAAAAGTAAACAAAGCTGGGGCATAGAAGCAGAACCGAGTCGTATGTGTGGAGGGACAGTAACTGTGTGTGTATATGTAAGCATTTAAACACTGCAGAGACAATTAACAGTAACAGTGTTGTAGAAATTCATTTCACCGAAGCAATAACGTGGCGCACAGTGTGACGTCAAAAAAATGCGCACACCTTTGACGCTGCGTTTTCTCGTCCACACGTAAATGCAAAAACGGAGTTTTAGAAAATATCCACCCTGGCCGGAGTTTGTAGAAATCTCCGTTTTCAGTGACCAAAAACGCCGTTTACGTGTGGACGAAAGGTGCAAACGCATAGAAAAATCTGCGTTTTCAAAAATACCCGGGTACGTGTGGATGTAGCCTCAATTTACCGAGCATTTCCTCATCTTTGCATTAAACGTGCTAAAACTACAATAACCAACTGCTTTGAATTAACGAGACCTTTAAAACCGCCTGCATATTTCTGGAGTGTTTTTGATACGTTACTAAGCTTGAGACCACAACAAAGTACTTAAAGATGTGAAAGTATGAAGTGATTCCAATTAAACTAAAGGGGGGAAAATAATCAAATGCAGGGAACGTTGTATTCCATCATGATATTCCCTTTGTCTCATGGTGTGAATGGGGCTGATCTGGCAGTGTGGATGCTTCTCCTCAAACATCCGTGCTCTGCGCTGTACTCCGTGAGACTGTCTCTGCAGGCATGCAGGGTAAACATACATGTCTGCGTTTGTGCTGCCTGTTTTTATGTGTTCTGTCTGACCCGTGGAGGCTTCGGGCCGTCTCACAGAGCCCTGTTAAATTCTTCAGCCCTGCAGACCGAAACACATGGAAGTCATAGACTGCACAAAAGACAAACTACAGTTTATGATTTTAACATTTCAAGACAAAAAAACACACCTTCCATTATTCACAGCTTTTAACTGCACATGTTAAAGGCTGACACGATGTTGAGGTAAATGCGTTTATTCTGTAGTTTGGGGGAAATCATAATACAAAGTTTGCGAACAGAGTATCAGCAAAGACCTTGAAGTTTTAATACAGAGAGTAAAAATGCTGAGTCATGCACAGCCACGGTGTATCAGCACCTCTGATGACGTTATCATCAGGTAAATCGCCGCAGGTTTTTCCAGAATCCTTAACCTTGCAAAGCCTGATGAATCATGAAATAATTGCCATATAAATTGTTTTACTTTATTCCATTCAAGCGACCACTC